CCGTGCCCGGCACCCCAGTCACTCCTGTGCCCCCTGTGACTCCCGTGAATCCCTGTGACTCCTGTGACTCCCTGTGACTCCTGTGACCCGTGACCCCTGTGACTCCTGTGACTCCCGTGACCCCTTGACTCCTGTGACCCCTGTGACTCCTGTGACTCCCTGTGACCCCTGTGACCCTCTCTGACTCTGATGGTGAGGTGCCATCTCTCTTCTGCCTAGTAGGATGGCCCTTAGAGCTTACGTGGCTAGTGGGAGCGAAGTATTAAAATCTCAATTACAGTTCATTTAAAATAGACTAAACAGTCACACGGCTGGCGTCCCCTGCAGTGGACAGTGCCAGGCTAGACAACCACAGCGTTCGAGTAGAGCGGTCTCTGGAAGTTTGTAGGGACAAAGGACAGACCACTCTCCATTACTTCTATCATCTCACTGTATTAACATTGATATTTATTATAAATAACATTGTGTATTCATCCACAAGACCTAGGATTCCAGAAATCCAGCGACAGGGACCAAGTGGCTATGCCGATACCTGCAAGGGCTTCCAGACCTCACTCCGGACAGCAGGCGTGCAGGATGCTGCACTCGGACAGAGCCCAGCGTCCCAAAAGCACCAGTAGCACACTCTCCACCTGGGAGTGCCAGAGGCGTGGGACCGTGGCCACACACGCCTGCTGCAGCATGAGGCCCGAGGACAGGGTGCAAGGCCAAGTGGCACCGGTGCCACCCAAAGTCGCTGTGATTCCCGGATTTACAACTGCCAGGTCAGCCTGTATTTAAGGGCTGAGAGTTCAGATGGAAAAGGGCCACATGAGGCTGAGGTTCTAAGAGAGGAAGATTTGAGACACTAGAAAATTCTATGCAGGGACCAGCAGTTGGGGTAATGGCTATGTCGCTGGACTCCCATATAGCTGACTGTGGTTCGAGTCCTGGACCTGGTGGCTTAAACTCACGCCGGGCGCATGTATGTGCGTGCCCAAGATCCCGAGAGGAGAATGGAGGAGAAGGGACTGTGGCGTGCCCATCCCCCCTGGGGGGTGATTTCTCACCTACTGTCTGTCTGTCTGTCTGTCTGTCTGTCTGTGTCTTTCTGGTGAGCATATGCACCCTATAGCAAAAACCTCTCAAAAAATAAAAAAGAAAGAAAGAGAGAGAGAGAGAGAAGATCTGCAGGGAAGCAATGGCATCGAAGAGGTTGCAGGCCGACTTGTGCACAGCAGAGCAGCACAAGGCCCCGGGCCTCACGGGGCACTCATGGGGCTCAGGCAGCTCATCACACGAACGTCTCATGCAGCCGCACGCACGTGGGAACATGCAAACAAGCAGTTTTTGTCAAGTATGGCAAAAACCGATTTTGGAAGACTGGCTTGTTAAGTATGACTTTGGAAACAAATCTTTACACTTCACATCAGTTACAAGTGGAACCCACGGAAACACCCGGCCGCACACTCACACACTCCGCGCAGGCAGGACAAGGGGCAGCCGTGCGCTCGCTCACACCTTCCTGAGGGGCCAGGGAAGGGGACAGCCCTTGGGGCTCTGCAACCTTCCAGGGGAGGGCTTCTGAGCACTCTGAGGGGCCTCTCCCTGTCCCCCCCGCTCCGTGACTCGCTGCAAGATGACAGAGCTATTTCATTTCACCAGGTGCTTCCTGGAGGCTCAGACTTACCCTAGTGAAGTTTGCCTTAAAAGTTTCTTGGTATCAGGGCTCACCTAGAAGAAGTCACTGCGTTTGGGGGTGGCTCTCAGGGGACACGAGGGACTTAGCCACTTCTGTGATACCGGATGGTGGTGCCCCAAAGGGGCTGACCACAGCTGACACTCTCTCCTGTTGTCTTGCGAAGGTTTTGTTGATCTGGGAGCCTCCGTACGGAGTCGGGAGGCAGAGACTTGTCTGTCTAGCTCAGTGATACCTCCCCATGCATGACAGATACAGGGGGTCTCCGTACGGAGTCGGGAGGCAGAGACTTGTCTGTCTAGCTCAGTGATACCTGCCCATGCGCGACAGATACAGGACACTTCGAACAGCTTGTGGAAAAATGGAATTCAAGTAAGAGTTTGCTGTGATGTAGAAAAACACAGAAACCCTTGAACACTCTCTTCATGACATGCATGTTCCGTGAACCACCACACACAGGTTCAGACCCCCTCAGAGCAGGCTCTTAAACATATGGAAGGAGAGTCTCCACGGATGGGGACGCTGTCACTCCATCACAGGTTGTGGGCACGCGAGCTCAGCGCAAGTCCCACTTGCACATGCAGAAAAGCCCAGTGCCCACAGGGGGCTGGTCGGCACTGCCACTCCCTACGGTGCCAGGCTGCCTGGGAACAGGCCACAGGCCACAGGTCTCTGCAGAGCCTGTTGGTCCCTACACTGCCGGGTGGAGCTGGAAGCCAACCTGGCTGTAGGACTCCAGGCGGTCTTTTTTTTTTTTTTGAGAGGTTTTTGCTATAGGGGGCATGTACTCACCAGAGACAGAGAGACACAGAGAGATAGAAAGCGAGAAATCATCCCCCAGGGGGGATGGTCACGCTGCAATCCCTTCTCCTCCTTTCTCCTCTCAGATCTTGGGCACGCATGCACACGTGTCCGGCGTGAGTTTAAGCCACCGGGTCCGGGATGCAAACTGTGGTCGACTACATGGGAGTCTAGCAACATAGTCATTATGCTAACTGCTAGTCCTGAAGACAGTCTTAAAGTGATGGGCCACAGTGAGAACTGGACCCAGGTACCCCAACAGTCCCCAGAACTGTCTGCTGCCTTTTCTAGTTCCTGACAGTGGAAGCGCTCTGAGGCTGGGGACGCACCCTCTGAAGCCTAAGCTCATCCTGCTCGAGTCATCAAGGCCTCCCCTGCAGGTTCCAAGTGGCCAGGGAAGTCAGGACATAGTGAAAAGGCCACGGCTCCTTGGACAGCAGAGCGGAAGGAGGGGCCTGGGCAGCTTGCGTTAACAGGGACCAGCCCCTCCCTGGCATGTGCCATCAGGCCGCCCGGCAAGACTTGGCCTTGCATCCAAAACGTAGCTCACACCCCTGCTCCTGAGCAGCAGAGTAATCACTGCAAGGAGGGGACAGCTCCTGACCCCTGCACACTCACTCCCACACACAGAACCAGGGACTTCGAATCCAAACAGGCACCAGGGAAAGCGATGAGATTTGCAGGGCAGGGGCTGCGTCTGTGGGGGAGAGCGACAGGCATTGTTGCATGGTAACCTGCCTCTTTGTCTTGTTCCCCACCGGCTCCCAGACATGGAATCAGGTGTGGGACAGGGCACCGGACAGCACTGCGCGTGCACACAGGCTCACAGCAGAAGGCGTGGTGCTCTGCATCCCGCTGACTCCAGCTTTAACACTCTCTCTGGCGGACTGCACAGACTTGACCGGCAGCCGTGCAAACAGCCTCACTGTGACTCGGAGACTGTCACATCCTTCCAGGAAGAGGGAATGCCAGACTCGGGAGACAAGCGGCACGGCCAACAGGCCTGTCCCTGGACGCTGGGACTCTCCCGCGAGCTGCCTTCCTTTCCGATGCGGGACAAAGTCACTGAGGTATGATGCCGGGAGGGGTCTGTGCCCCAGCCTCCCGCTGTCTACCTGCCGGGTACGTGCACGCCCCTGCAGCTCACGCGGGCACCTGCTCCTCCCTCCACGCAGCACAGCTGCTCACTTGCACATGCAGAAAAGCCCAGTGCCCACAGGGGGCTGGTCGGCACTGCCACTCCCTACGGTGCCAGGCTGCCTGGGAACAGGCCACAGGCCACAGGTTGTGGGCACGCGAGCTCAGCGCAAGTCCCACTTGCACATGCAGAAAAGCCCAGTGCCCACAGGGGGCTGGTCGGCACTGCCACTCCCTACGGTGCCAGGCTGCCTGGGAACAGGCCACAGGCCACAGGTCTCTGCAGAGCCTGTTGGTCCCTACACTGCCGGGTGGAGCTGGAAGCCAACCTGGCTGTAGGACTCCAGGCGGTCTTTTTTTTTTTTTTGAGAGGTTTTTGCTATAGGGGGCATGTACTCACCAGAGACAGAGAGACACAGAGAGATAGAAAGCGAGAAATCATCCCCCAGGGGGGATGGTCACGCTGCAATCCCTTCTCCTCCTTTCTCCTCTCAGATCTTGGGCACGCATGCACACGTGTCCGGCGTGAGTTTAAGCCACCGGGTCCGGGATGCAAACTGTGGTCGACTACATGGGAGTCTAGCAACATAGTCATTATGCTAACTGCTAGTCCTGAAGACAGTCTTAAAGTGATGGGCCACAGTGAGAACTGGACCCAGGTACCCCAACAGTCCCCAGAACTGTCTGCTGCCTTTTCTAGTTCCTGACAGTGGAAGCGCTCTGAGGCTGGGGACGCACCCTCTGAAGCCTAAGCTCATCCTGCTCGAGTCATCAAGGCCTCCCCTGCAGGTTCCAAGTGGCCAGGGAAGTCAGGACATAGTGAAAAGGCCACGGCTCCTTGGACAGCAGAGCGGAAGGAGGGGCCTGGGCAGCTTGCGTTAACAGGGACCAGCCCCTCCCTGGCATGTGCCATCAGGCCGCCCGGCAAGACTTGGCCTTGCATCCAAAACGTAGCTCACACCCCTGCTCCTGAGCAGCAGAGTAATCACTGCAAGGAGGGGACAGCTCCTGACCCCTGCACACTCACTCCCACACACAGAACCAGGGACTTCGAATCCAAACAGGCACCAGGGAAAGCGATGAGATTTGCAGGGCAGGGGCTGCGTCTGTGGGGGAGAGCGACAGGCATTGTTGCATGGTAACCTGCCTCTTTGTCTTGTTCCCCACCGGCTCCCAGACATGGAATCAGGTGTGGGACAGGGCACCGGACAGCACTGCGCGTGCACACAGGCTCACAGCAGAAGGCGTGGTGCTCTGCATCCCGCTGACTCCAGCTTTAACACTCTCTCTGGCGGACTGCACAGACTTGACCGGCAGCCGTGCAAACAGCCTCACTGTGACTCGGAGACTGTCACATCCTTCCAGGAAGAGGGAATGCCAGACTCGGGAGACAAGCGGCACGGCCAACAGGCCTGTCCCTGGACGCTGGGACTCTCCCGCGAGCTGCCTTCCTTTCCGATGCGGGACAAAGTCACTGAGGTATGATGCCGGGAGGGGTCTGTGCCCCAGCCTCCCGCTGTCTACCTGCCGGGTACGTGCACGCCCCTGCAGCTCACGCGGGCACCTGCTCCTCCCTCCACGCAGCACAGCTGCTCCTCCTGGTACACAAGGCCCTCGAGTTCTGAATAACTGCCCCGGGAAAGCTGAAGCGAGGATGGCGAGAAGGCACGAAGGGACATGCCCCTGTGGCCAAGACGCAGGCCGCACGCTCTGTGGGAAGTGGAACGTCTACTTACTGAGCTTCTTCAGAAGACTCCTGTTTTATTTTTAATGTTCTCTTTGTGACAGGTATTTCATCTGAAAAGCAAAGATTTTGAAACAAATTACATCCTCCTAAGTGGTGGCAGGCACACAGACAAGCCGCTGTGCTTGCTGCCGGTCCCAAACGTTCAGCGGCAGGGCCCTGACCGTGCCGAACCCTGCCCAGGCTGACCCACGTCACCACCATGGGATGCAATGCGTGCATCTGTGTGCAAAACCAGAACTGAGCTCTGCCGGTGTGACGTCTCCAAGGTCGCTGGTGGGTTCCTGGCTGGAGCTTAAGGCGTAATCTCACGGCTGACATGATTGTAAAAGAACCAGAATGAAAATAATTCTGTCCTACTTAGGTTTATACGTGGGCTTTACAGAGAGATTGTCGGGTGAAGCTCCCTCGGGACCAGCACACCTTCCAAGTCATGGTCCTACAGGTGTGGGTGCTCAGACCTCCAGGGCGAACCCAGCGTGACAGGTGCCAAAGGAGCATGGCTCCCTGCTGCTCCGAAGTGGGAGCCCGTGCTCACAGAGCAGTGCCCTTGTTACTCTCCCAGTGAAAAGTCCCTCTCTCGCCTACTGTCGCTTACACTTGGCTTTTGTTTTTATGAGAGAGGCACAGGGGGGTACCCGGGTCAGCGTCTTGCCACTGCTGCCCTCTGCTCCGACCTCCCATCTAGCCAGGGCCACGGGTGTCACTGCCACATCTGGCCTGCTCAGTGTGCTCCTGTGGCTCCAGCCTTACCTGGGGGCACCCTGTCCCCTGCACCCGCTTGGCTGGGCCTGTCTCAGTTTCTGGCCTACTTCTCTCCTCCCGTAGTTTAAACAGCGTTCGCTCACACAGGTGAGCACTCAGCCCTTCCCAGCAGGTTAGTGTTTCTCTGTCACCAGGAATCTGGGGACAGCCGGGGCCGCGGACGGCCACTCTGCCGCTATATGCAGTCCTTCCTGGGGCCCCTTGGGGCGGCCTGAGGGTTTGCTGGGGAACACACTTACTGCTACGTGAGGCTCATTATTGAACTTGCTACTAACCTATAGGGCCGTCGGGACTTAACCAGTACTTCCCACTTGTGAAAATCGGAATTAGAGTGTTCAACACAAAAGGAACAAGCAAGCCCGCCCGCAGCTGCTCTGGAAGCCCCGCGTCTGGCCCGTGGCAGCCCAGGAGCTCTGACGGTCTCCACCTGCTGCTTGCCTCGCGGTCTGTTCACACTGAAGTTGGGGCAGGGTGGAGGGGGGGGGCTCTTACACGTCAAACAAAACCCTTCAGGACAGAGGGCGGAAAGACAGCGGCACCTATAGTGGCTGAGCCAGGAGCCAGAGCTCGCTGCCACCTGAGACCCAGACGCAGAGCACGTGAGACTCCCAGGGCCCTCCTGTCACGGAGCTTCCTCGGGGAGCTCAGATCTGGTGTGCCTTCTGGCTCACGCTGGTGCCCGCCCGCCCCACGCCAGCACCTGCACCAGCAGGTGGTTTAGGGCTAGTCCAGGGCACCGAGGGGGGCCCTGTACACCTGGCTACACACCTTGTAGGCAGTGGGACAGGCCGGAGGAACGGCATAGTCTGCACACGTAAACACACGTACTGCCTGCAAGCACACGCTCTCATGCAGCGCCCGGACAGCACACGCGCACCGTCTACGGCAGCTCTTACCCGGGTCCTGGTCTGGGGGGCAGCCATGTAGCTCCTGACTGTGGCTTCCCCAGTCCTCCTGTGAGCAGTCCTCCAGAGTGCTGCCGTCTGACTCCAGCTCCTGGTACAAGCCACTACTGTTAATAAGGACAGGCTGGCAGGGCTGGGCATCCCATCCTCCCTGACCAAACACCTGTTCCAACTGTTCAAATGTGTAACTGCTCTTTCTTTTCCCAACACCATGTTCTTTCACCCGACTGTAACACCTGCGGAGGGTCTAAGACACAGAGTCCTTCGTTACTCCTTAAAGCTGTACCTCCTCCCGGAACGGACCACAGACATCAATTACGATTAGACAGACAGACAGACAGACACATTGTTACAGGAAGCTAGATTCAAATTCATTGTTATATTAGACAAAACACTAGTTTAGCATTTACTCAAACATGTTATAATTTAAACAATTATTTTACAATTAATTATCCATTAAACAACAAGAAACATTACAACATTATTGCATGTACCCATACACACATTTTATGCCCCCACCCCCATTCAAAAGGAATAAGGGGGATGAGGAATACCAGCCAGCCACTAGGGTGCACCCCTGCCACAGAACAGAGAGCTGCTACCACACCCAGACCTTGGGGGGTGGGGATGAAGGAAGGGGAGACAGAGAGAGGAGTTTCCCAAAGCAAAGACCTTCCTGACTCCCGAGCAGGGGGACGGGGTGAGGGCAGACTGGACTGGTCAGCTGGTGGACGCCTCACTCGGTCTGCAGCCCTTACCAGCCCACCCTGCCTTTGGGGACACTGCTACAATTCAACACAGAGGGCAAAGCCACGAAGCCAGGCCCCGCCTCCATCAGTGACAGAGAGAGCTCGCGGTGCCCTGCGTGGGCAGCCTGGTCTGTGCTGCCAGCACCAACCGCCAGCTCACCAAACCAACATGAGGGCAGACCCCTTCTGGGAGCGCGAGGGTGGGTTCAGTCCACACCATTATCCGCTGTGGCAGGGCCGCAGACAGGCATGAGTCCACAACCAAGGCCTCTCTGCACCTCGCACGCCCCTCCGGGCTCCTCACGGCCTCCGCTGAAAGCATACTGACACTCAGCCCGGCCTCCCGACTTGCACGGTGCACCTTACACGACTGCACGCGGTATTTCCAGAGCCGCGCCCGGGAGCAGTCTGAGTCCACGTGCGGCTCACCCACACTCGGTCTGCCGCCCTCTGCTCCTGCCATCGCCCCTCACTGGCTGGGACTCATGCTGACGATGCTCCTGAGACCTAAGCCCCCTCTCTTCTGGTGGGTCCCAAACCCTTAGTCACTCAACTGTGCATAACTAGTTCATCTCAGACTAGTCCACAGACATTGCCCAGACCAGAACTTTCTCCGAGACGTGAGGTGACTTCCGTAAGCCACGGTATTGCCTATCCTTGCCAAATTACAGCTTGTGGCAGTCTTCGCGACCCTCCGTGTGGCTGGGCCACAACTGAGGGGTTCCTGGTCCACCTCCGTGTGGCCGTTCCACAACTGAGGGGTTCCTGGTCCACCTCCGTGTGGCCGTTCCACAACTGAGGGGTTCCTGGTCCACCCTGCGTAAGAATATCCCTTGAGGCCAGAAATCCAGATGGGCAAAATCAGTCACTGAAGCATGGCCCAGTAACCTCCTCCGACCCGGGCCAGGCAGAACCAGGTCCGCCCTGAGCCAGCCGCCTGCTCCCCACAAGCGTTTGATCTCGCCCTCTGGAGATCCCTTCTGGGGCCTCAAACGACGGCTCAGAGAACTCCAGCTCCCAACAATACAAGCTTTTTAAAGTGTTTCTTCTCTCTCTCTGTGAAGGGTAGTCACGACCATGTAAGACGGCACTTTCTGGAATGAGCCAGAGCTGTGACCCTGGCGTGTGAATCCCGGGAAGCCTTCGGGGAGGAGCTGACGCCTGGCAGAGCTCAACTGCCCTTCGTGACCCTCCCCCCCAGCGTCCTCCACCCTCCTGGCAGGGACCGGGATTGGAATGGCAAACATCCCCTGACAATTTATTTTTATCTCGCAACGTCTAGCTTCTGCCTCCAAGAACACCCAACCACGGTCCCACTCCTGCGAGGGCTGTAAATGGAGAGACCCAAGCACATCCCTTCCCCTTCCAGGACCACTTGCAGGGCCGCCGCCTCTCCTGGCTCTGCCCAGCACTGAGCACTCGGCATGCGGCCCAGTCCATCCCCACGGCCCTGGAGAAAGGGGCTGGGCTCGCTGGGCAGTGACACAGTGACAGAGCCACTGCTTCCTGACAAGACACGTGGAGGGAGACCACGGAAAGACTCTCCTCCCTTGGAATCTTCCAACCTGAGCCCACGGACTCGTGTGGCTTATGGAACCGAGCGAAGGACGTGGCCATCTCTAACGTCACGGGTGTGGAGGAACAGTCGGGTGGATGTACACGGTGTCAGAAAAGCCCGTGCCTGCCGGTGCTCGCGCACGGACAGTACGGCACACTGGAGCGCGAGCCCCATCAGGTGCCTGCCGGGAAGGCATGTGCAACTTGTAGACCCACAGCGGTCCGACAGAGACCATCTTGAAAGGGGTTCCAAGTCGACCTAGCTCTCTCAAGACATGAACGGGCGCGAGGCAACTCTGGGTCTGTCGAGACCACACATCAAGGAGGCTGCATGGGGAGGACTTGTCACCCACGGGCCGAGGGAGTAACCCACGTCAGTGGCTCCACCAGGCCTCGGCTGGTGGACAGGCCAGGGAAGGCCTTCCGGTGTGTCTCAGCCATTCCTG